TAAACTTCGCTCGTCTGTAATTATAATTTTTAAAAGTTCATTGCTTCAAATATTTGACATAGCTTATTATTACATCTCTTAAACTTTAAGCAGTGATCTTACAGCTCATTCAACCTTAAAGGGGCTTCGCCACGTAAGCCTGAGACTATAATAAAGATCTCGCAATGCCAAACAAATTGTTCTTAAGTATTTTGCCAAGGCCATCAATCTGTTCTTCGCTGATTCTCGTTAAGTACCCACGATGGTATTTTCTTCTCGGAGAAGAACTCATTCCGTACAGCCTTCTGCCTTTTTAATCGACACTTCTGTTACTCGCATATAGTTTCATTCATTGCGCAATGTCACGTGTAATCTCACGATTGCGATTTTTCGTTTACAAACTTTCTAACTGTGCCTATTCATCCAGTAAGCCGTTAAATTCTCATCTAAAATAATATCTCTCTTTCCTGTAAATAACTTTATCATGTCAGATCGATCTCATTTCTGTGAACTCGTTAATTCTCTTGAATTCTATGGGGGGGAGGGAAATTTACTATCACGGTTGTTACACGATTTTTATATGTGCTATGTGCTCAAAACAGACGTTCACTTCCATCGATCAACATACCAAGCAGACCAAGAGTTCGATGACGTTGTTAACAGTTAAACTTAAGTAGAAACAGGTTTCACACGCGGTGAACTGGAAGTATCATTATGAATTCCGTCCATGTTCCCCCTGCGTTAAATATCAATCATTGTGGTGGTCCCGACTGTTTATTATTCAGTGCATCCATTTCAGATATACATTATCACAGTCGTGTGAAACGAATCCCTAACACGATGCTCTTTAAGCTACAATTAATCGAATCTTGACCCGGAAGTCAATAGGACAATTAATAAATCAATTCCAAAGTCAAATTCTATTATCATTCAAACGTTTAGTACTTCCTGAAGAAGAATCGATCGCGTTTCAAAGAAAATTAAAAGAAAAAAAACATTACTGATCAATTTAACTAATTATTAGGATTTTTTCTCGCTGTCTTATTGTACATTGAAAAAAAAGCATAATCGTATGTTGCATGTGTGATCTTGGAAAAGCGAAATTTTCACGTGGAATTGTTTACTCGACGATAATGGGAAACTGGTTACGTTTACGCGTTCTTACGCTTTCTCACTTGTACGAATTTGATTCCTTTTTTCAAACGCCGTTTTACCAACCGTGCGTTATGACCGCTTTCACCGTGTCCAAACGCTGTGTTTTAATTACTTTTTACTGTTCAGACCCGTCGAGGATTGCGTGGATCAGGGAAACAGATCTTGTCTTTAGAAACCGTTCTCATTGACAGATATACTTGGATTACGTATAACGAGGAGAAAACTAAAGCAAATAGATATGCAAAGTTTAATCTCGACATATCTTAAAATGACGATTTTCATTTAACAATTACGCTTCCTGTTCCTCAATTCTGTTTGCGAAAAGGGTGTATTGATAAAAAAATGCAAATTTCTTTTAGTTATTGAACTTTTTCTCGGACACTGCCCTGCTTCAATGCCAGCTGCATTCTTCGTAGATCACCGACCCTGAGTTACTTCTCAAAATAAAAGTGTACGCATTACCCATTGGTTACGGTCAGTTTTATGTCCGCGCTATCATAAATATGAACGGCGATTTAATTGCAAATTCTACGCTTGAATACCGTGCGTGCGATATCTCTAGGTGAAATCACTTCTCACTGGGTCATCATTGCACTAGAATCATTCCGCGGTTGTCTTGATTCTTAGTGCAGTATAGATGCGTCCACAAGAGTCATAGACATCCTCTGTAAAGGACCTTTCCCACTGTCCGCCGTCACGGTCGCCGGCACGGAATGGCAGGGCCGAAACATGAAGAGCGAGTAGGGAAAATCGTGTAAAAGCTGGGTACTTCAAAGGGGCCCACTGACCTGCAGAGCCGACCGGCACGGCCGAGCGAGACGCAGACAGTTGACCTATTCGCTCTGCAGGCCAGTGGGCCCCTTTGAAGTACCCAGCTTTTACACGCTTTTCCCTATACCTCGCAACTTCATGTTTCGGCCCTGCCTTTCCGTGCCGGCGGACAGTGGGAAAGGTCCTTTACGATAAAACATCCGTTCCTGCGTTCGTGTGCGTGGAACCGGTCTCACTTACGAGTGGATGCGAGACTAGGGCTAAGGCCAGGTGAACGTGGGTATCAGCCGTAAATTGTTTTGACGTGATCACTGACGTGATTTCCATATATTATTAAATATTGCATATATTATAATTATGCCAAGTCCTTTGTTAATAAGCATTTAATAAAAATGTTAATTTATAATGATAATGTTAATTTATAATTGATTTGATTGACGGAGAAATATAACAAGTCATCGCTTGCGATAAGGAGGCGACGTTTGTATACAAGAAATGAAGAAAATAAAATTAATGTATTCATAGTTACTATGAATCATTTGAAACTTCATTGTGAGTATAGAATAGCATGAAGAGGCAATCTTTTATTTTATTTAATCAAAAGAAACTAACGTTTCCTGTGACATCACACTGTTTGATAATTAATTTGAAAAACAAATGCAAAATCACTCGTTACAAATTACAGGACGTTGATGTACACTTGATATGGATTTTTCAGAAAAAAATAACATTTCCTGCGATATCACACTATTTGACAGTTAACATGCACTTGATATTAAGAGAACAGGGATTAATTTACAATTTTGATTATCATGCGAACGTAGAAAACTCCTTATTTTCTTATGTCAAACCTAATTAATGAAAGTGCATTTGTATAAATTATCATTGACACGACGGAAGTTATTCAGATTTTTGAATACATTAAAACACCAGTTATTCGAAATGAGGGAAGGGAACACATGACAGTTTTACTGCAAAATTTGTCGGGATATATAGTGGGTACGATTATTATTTGCATTTTAATGATTCGTCAATGATGATTTGCCAAGAGACTCGAGTTAATACAGGGCTATATTTGTTTTGGATTGCACAACGAGAATGCTTTGACTAAAAACACTTTATTCGATTTTAAGAGGTGTTTAAACAATTTCAAAATCAGTGGCTTAGATGTTCGAGCCTCGAGATGATCTTCAATGATTAATTTTTTTACTAGAGTCAGATAATTATTAAATAATTTATAGATTTTTTACTAATATCAATTGGCAATTCCACATAAAAATGAATATCATAAAATCGAGGTTTTTTAAAAGAAACATCCTAAGAAGTTGATTCACTTAATATTAATGCGTATTCAAAATAGTAGAGTAAATGAAGGTAATGAGCACCAGAAGGATGTAGCATGATTTTTCGAATGAGGTAAAAATTTTTCATGAATTCACAGCGTCTGCATGTGAACCAACATTCGATTTGCTGGTAATCGCATGTCGTTGTCCCCGTTCCCAACGAAAACCGGGGTCCACAGTCCTGGTTCTCCGCTCCCTGAGTGAACGTACACGATTCCCAACAGTATCTGGAGCGCGTATAGTCGGTGAAAGAAGTATACTGGGATGTTAAATGAAATCACACGAATATCAGAAAACGTTTCCATTACTCCCCATTATGTCATTATTACATTGGAGATTTTTGGGACCTTGAGAGATAAAGACGTGACTCTCTTGAGAAACTTGAATAAAAGGTAGTGAACGGATATCATGAAAAATGGAATAAAACGCCTGGCACAGGATGTGCAGTTTCAGGATGAACAGTGCTGGAATAATTTGTTAATTAATACTCGGTGTATTTGGTGGGAAAATAATGGGAAAATAAGGAAGATTAGTAAGTGTGATTAACGACGTGTTGGATAATCAGAATAATAAAAGCAAGCGGAAATGACATAAGAGGTTTGTATGACATTTTTATGTGTCAATGGTGACAGTGACGGTGATAAATTCGTCGCACAATAACTAGTAAATATATTCTTGTCGTTTCCTATTTTTATCAAACGAATAATTAGAACCCGTGCCATGTACGCTTGTATGATAATCGATGTCTAAACTGACAGATAATAAAATATATTGAAAGAATCACCTCTGAACCGAATGAACTCGGATCTTCGCTGTCGAGTCTTCCCTTGAACACTGTACACTGAAAAACTTCGACAAATCTGCCAACTGGCAGTCACTTTCCACACCGGTGACTCTTTTAATAAATGCCAGCAACGCGAGTCTAGAATCATCCGGCCTAGCCACGTTAATCTTTCCATAAATCTAAACCATCATCGTACAACATTTTATTTTTCCTTTTTACCTTGGAAGAAAGCTAATGTACGTACACTCGGTGTGTATTGAGCAACGACTGACATTCTTGTTTCCGGAATAAGAGACCGTAGGCCCGGCGCATCGCGATCCACGTGGACGAAACTGGTGAACGAAAATAGGCGAGTAGTAGAAAGTAAATTCACGGCGGTGAAATTCGCGTCGAAAGGACGGACGGATCGGTGGCAGCGTCAGAATGATGCTGTTGACGGACGATCGTCTTTTTGACCGCTTTTCCCCGGGCTCGATTTTTGCGTAACTTTCGTTGGCCCGCGCGTCACGCGCGCAAGTACAAGTACATAAGAAAGTAAATATTCCAAAACAGGTTTGAAACTGTACCGCGTGAGCATTTCTACCTTTTTGGACGAACGCAACCGCGCGAACTAAATTGCTTCCCGAGATTGTCAAGCAAATCCACGTTTTTTAGACATTTAGAAACGTTTCGTAACTCTTTCTTGGAATGAAACAGAATATGAAGAATGATTGCAGTAGTGCTGATGTCAATTAAAAAATCTTCGCGAACTGGAGACACTCCTTGCATTTTCCTATACATATTCCAAGAAAAAAAATTGCATACGTTAATGCATAAACTGTATTAATGCTCGGTGTGTCAAAAAACATTGCTATAATGATATGCATACGTTAATGTAAAAAGATGTACAATGAGATGCAAAAAGAACATAATGGTACACACGTGCGTGAATAATAATCTAAGATCACATTTTTCAATTAACACTGCTTGTGTAATATTGAATCTCAATTTTATTAACAATTACGTAATGTTAAAAGCGACAGTGCTATGATTTTAAATGGTATGTGTATTTAGCTTATTCTTTCCTGCCACATTGTAATGAATCCTGAGCGGTAAAATATTTCTGGTGTCATCAATTTCGTTCCAAGAATTTCACAAGTGCTTTTCAATCAGCGAAATACAATCGGATGGTGAACCCGATTCTAGAAACAGAGAAAGAGAGAGAGAGACAGGAAGAACACGTCGGTTTCTTATCCTCGCTTTCTTCGAGACAGGATTCGAAATAAGCAGAATAAATATTATACAATAGTCGGTGAGTTCCGGCCGTTACTGAGCACTGCTATTCCATGACGCAATTATTGTCGTTTTGTTTTTGCTGATCGACATCGTTCAATGACCATGCTCGATTGAGAATCAATCGGGTCACTTGTTCATAGCTCCCAATTGAGAGAGCCAAGTATTTTTGTTTTTATTTCATTATGCAATGTTACTCTAAAAATTTTCTTTCAGATTTAAAAAAATGGTAAAATCATTTCTCGCGACGTTCTCTAAATTCGTTTTACTTTTTAAAAATGCTAATACTATTAACATTTCTCTTCTGCATTAACTATGATATTAGAAATATGGACTAGTATATTAATCAATTCATTATTTTATAAAGTATGTATTAGAGTAATTGTAAATTTATTCTACGAACAAGGAAAACATGATATGAACACAGGACGTAATCGATAATTTAAAAAATTATATTTATTTTTACATCGTTGACAAGCGAAACTAGTTTTACTGGAAATAACAAAGTGTAAATTAGCTAGTTTAGCTAGTGATAAGCACTTTTTATTTCCTCAAGTTGTTTATTGTGCAACCTCTACGAAAATCGCAGCATCATTTTGTACGAAAAATGGTATAATCAATTGGATCATTGTTCCGTTTTGTTAGCTAAGTTTTGCGGTTTTAAGTATGGTCAACTAGACGGTTTGGTAATTCTACCCTCTTTCTAGTTTCCTCCGTTGCGTAATTTCTTCACATCATTTTATCGACTAAACGTGCCGCCGAAGCGACGTAGACATAAGTGAACTTATGTCGTGACTGTCAAAAACTAGTGGCAGGCTACTTTTAAACAATGATATAATAAGAATTATACAACTGCTCTTTCGATTGGCCAAGTGTCGTACAGAAGTAAATGATTCTATGAATGACTGAATAAACTGAAGTAATGGAGTTTACTTTTGACACACGCGTACACGAATACAATGGCTAATATAGTACGCATTTTCTAGAAGTCACGATGATTACAAGCTACTCTGTAAAGAACGAATATGTTATATAGAACAGTATATGTCAATGTAGATTTATGTTACTTGATATTACTTTTTACTTAATCGCACTTACGGTTATAGCAATTAAGAACGGTTCTAAAAAATTGTTTATATTCCACCTCCACTTAAAAAATCAGACGAATGCGTTCGTATGGACGCGTCTAAAAGCAATAAAAATTATAAATTACTACAGTTACGTGTTTTTCTTCACGTCTATATCTTTTTTCACTTAAAAATAATGATCTAAAAGTGAGAGAGATGAAACTATTTGTTGGACCTTGTACGATACTAGAGTGCATATTAAAAGAATTATAATTTACAATCCAATGTAATTTACAATTACAGTCGGAAGAACATTGCTAATAATAAACAACAAAAAATATTTTTCGATTTTTCCGATATTTTTCCAAGGGAAATGCGTTTTTCTAAGGTACATAAACTTTTGGGATTGACTGTATAGCCAATACATCCTTAAATTGATTAATTAAATCGAGGAAGAACAATTAAACTAATGATAATAATTTTAGACGCAAATGTCAAAAGTGTGCGTTTACTTTGCGTTTCATTGTAAATACGTTCGGTCAAAAATGAATGATATACACGGAACTTGATTAAAATCGCAAAACTGTAGAATTGTATAAGGCCATGGAAATTTTTTCTTGATTCGTGAAAGTTGAATACATTCTTCGACGAGTGAATATCTTGTTTTTGAGACTCGAAAATAACCACGTGACCTTGCACTTTACCGGTCTGACGTCTATATAACAGTGAAAAAAATATGCACGTTTCCTATACATATCAAATATATTTGAGTCTAAACAGATATTTTCTTAGAGCGTTTTTGGTACTTTGTGGTAGGTCCAAATAAAATGGATAAATAAAATAAAACAGGTCTGCGCGAATTGATGTGTAATTCGTGAAATTTAGCTGGCTTACGAATTTGGCCTACTTATTATTTTAAAAAAACAATGGGAGAATTAGTACGTCGACGTGTAACGCTTAATTAGCGTTGCTCACATAATTATTGCACGTTCGAACAACGGCGCTTCTCACAATTAAGTGTTACTCCAGCGTTGCGTCGGGTCACCCTACATAAATGCAAATGCAGAATGACGATTTGGTTGTGACATTTTTATAGCGAAGACATAGAAAAGATGAGGATTAAATTGTTCGGACATAGCCATTGCATAATTCTCCCGTTTAGTCGGCTATCGAAATTCATTGACATTCCGGCACGGCGGTAGCAAGTCAAACTTCCGGTTCACTTACCTCGCTGCGGACGATCCTTCGGATTGTCGAAAGTAAAACGTAAACAATTATAGTCTCTCCTCCAAAATGTCAATGCGGCTGCTTTCAACGATTCCTTCGATCGCCGGGAAGATAGACGTCGAAGCGATCTAACAATTCAAGAGGCACCAAGCGGCGCAGCTACTGTCGAGTCACGTTCCACGGGTATCGAGGAAGAAAATCGCTGTTAGAATGGGATCTACGCAAAATCAACGACTCTTTTTTTGCCTCTTATCTCGCGAGTCTTTCTCTCTTCGCGCGCAACTTTCTCGAGTTTCTTCACCGAACACTTTTCTCCTCGCTCGACGAAATCTAATTCTGTTCCTAGACGCCGCGATGGTCGATGGATTTTTCGCGCGAATCGAAAGGGTGCCCCGGAACTCGGCTCGGTTACACCGTTACCGTTCGCGAGCACTCTGTTACAGCTAGCCGTGGTAGGCGAAGTGGGTATCGTTGACACGGCGATCGCGCGCAACAGGTTCCTCCACCGTTTAAAGTTTGCTGACGAGTAATTATGGAATCCCAAAATGACACCACGAATGCGTACGTTCTCCTCGTGATAACACTAGCTGTGGGTTTAAACGCATATCTGTACGAACTGAAATGTTGACCGAGGTCCGATCGCCGCACCGTCGAACACCTGACTGCCGTTCCTCGCGGTTCCCTTTGGAAAATCAAGATCAAGTCTAAGTCACATGGAGGAGGGGGATCTATGAATCGGGGAGTCGTCTCATATGCGTATACGGAGTGTCTATATATACGCACACCCGATTGTGTACTCCTTTTTCAAGAAGAATCCTGGGAACGCCGGACCTCCCTTACTTGAAAAATATTTAATCATTCGTTTGGCTCTGGATATAGTATACTCGATCAAAAGTCAAATTTTATAAGATACGTTCATAATAAGAAGGTGAAATAAAGCGTGCCTAATCTTTTACTATAATTAAAATAAGGCTACTTATTTTATTCGTATTTGAATAAAATTTAGAAGGTAGAAACAGCCGATTCATGATTATTGATTTATGATTTTGAGTCCTAAGAAAATTTGTTACATAATATTACAACGAAATGATTAGATATACAAATTTTTTGTAATGCATATGAATTATTCACATCATTTAAGCAAAACTAATGTACTAAAACTTAATTAACATGTCCATATAATCACATTTAATAATTGCAAATGAATTATTTCATCTCTTGCACTAAAATATTATATCTACAACTGAGCAATAAAAAGATTCTCAAGTGACATGACGCAGACTACGTCAATATAACATTTAACGATTTATTTATACAAATCGCTATTCTGTCGTTCAATACAGAATTACAATTAATTACCCGTTTTTAGTTCAATAAAAATTTAAATTCATGTAATTTCCGGAATTCAAAATACATTCGCATTAACAAGTGGAAACAGCAGTATAACTGGGTTGCTATATTTTCTATTAACTAGATTATTTTCCAAATTGTTTAAATGCGATAAAAATTTAACATAAGAATTAGGAATATACTTATTCTTATTATTTTTACTACTGAGGAGATATTAGTTTTCATCGGTGTGTTATTACTGTAACAATATAGTTATGATTCTCGCTTTTATCGACGAGTACCAAAGGAGATGCAGACGGTGTTTGTCAGACCACCGACATTACCTAGTCTACTCGGATGTTTTTGACAGCAGCGTAGGATAGAATAGAGAGTATCAACAAAACTATGACAATTCACAATCTGTACATATTTTCCAAGAATGGAACATTACTGTATTATGCGGAATGGAATAGGTTGAACAAATCTGGAATCACAAAAGAAGAGGTACGTGCAATAACTGTAACAGCTTATTATTTTAACAAATTGCTAATATTTTCTAACCTCGTGAAATGTGATTATTTTCTTAATTTTAATTTTATAGTTTCTGTACAATTTATAACATGTGTCTATCTTTGTTTTATTATAAAATCCTGTTTTAACTACAATTTTATTATTTTTAGGAAGCAAAGTTAATGTATGGAATGTTATTTTCCATTAAATCCTTTGTAAATAAAATATCTCCATTAGATCCCAAAGAAGGATTTTTATATTATAAAACTAGTAAATATACATTACACTATTTTGAAACCCCATCTGGATTAAAGTTTGTATTAAACACTGATAATGCTACTCAGAATGCTAGAGAATTATTACAACAGTTGTACAGAGAGGTGAGTGAATTTTCTATATTTTGTTTTTAATTTTTTCTACAGTTATTGAAACACTCTATACTACTAATAACTACTGTCGCTGTTTCAGGTATATTTGGAATACGTTGTAAAAAATCCTCTATGTCAGTTAAACGAGCCGATCCAAAGTGAGCTGTTTAAATTGAAAACTGACGAATTATTTAAGAAATCTCCTCTATTTTTAAGTAGATCAATTTAATTCAATTTTGTACTTCTACGTGTAATGTACTTGGATATAAACGTGATTTATAAAATTATTCAATTTTCCAAATTCAATTCCATCGAGGGAAATGCAGTTTAGAAATATAGAATAAAAATGGTAAAAAAGTATTCCTCTAACTTCAATGAATATTCAATTTACATTATATTTTATTATATTTATGATTTTACATTGATTATAAAATGAAAGAATAGCATAAACAATACAATTTTACGATACATTGAACTGTGGTCTTCCTACAAAATATACAATGTCTAAAAAATAAATCGAACCTGATACTAAATACGTTTTAAACGTTTAAGCTTATTCGTTATGAACTTCTGAAGTTTATTTTACGATTGCACCATCGCTATCAACTAAATGTATCTCTGCAATTTATATGTTCAAACAATTATTTAAAATACATAAAAACGTTGGTAAAAATGCATACTTTATTATAAATTCCTCTTTTTCATACTTCATACCATGTGTTAGTTATCCTAGGCAGACTTTTAGTACATGCCTGGTTTAACTAAAACACCTACTCCTGTTTGAAGATTACGGTGGCAGCTCGTATCATATTTTACAATTGATCTTCTATCAGAAGGACACATGTACACTGTCACGTTTCTCTTTTACATGTATAAGCTTTCCACAGAAGTATTTTCACTCGAAGCAACCGCCAGCTGATACGTACATGTAACGAAGTGATTACTTACAAACAAGAAATATTTATATAGATTAAGACAATCATTTTACAAAATTATGTACATACGTTTAAAATTTGAAATTACTTTAAATCGAAAGTATGTGGAAATGTAAAATTGCTCAACTTGATTTCAATCTTTTTATCACGATCGTTAGTAGTTCATGCTTATATTAAATAAACGCAAATATACGGCAAGAGAATGAAATAGCTTTTAATAAAGCACCTGAAATTATTGTATATTAATCACTGGGGTTAATAACAAATAAATATAAGCTGAAGGTAATAAGCTACCATACCTTTTTTTTATAGTATAATATTAATGTCTTGTCCTAATACATTGTAACATTTACGGTCAAGGCATGTCCGTTGCCTTCGGGGTCGTGCATTATACTACATACATTTTCATACATCAAGGGACAACATTTAGAAAATGTTCATGTACAAAGGTTCTTACGGTACTTGTACACATGATAATACGATTGGCGAATTGACAAGTGTTCCATGCATAGAAAATGATATTTGTTATTCGACGTAAAATGCATCTTTATGAAGCGCTTATAACTTTCTCGTAAGTTTTCATACAGTTCAATATATATTTTGTTTCATATCAAGCGAAAATTACTTTTCTTTAAGATCCATCTATCCCTACATAAAAAATTCTAAAGAAGTCGATAGCTCACAGTTACGATGGTTGTATGCTGGCGAACAAAATTTTTCGTACAGAAGAATGTTCTCTTTACGCACGAAACTATTGGCACAAAATGAAAATTATCGCGTAAAACTAATTTGTGAATTCCCTTTTTTATATTCGATTCGAGGCCTGTGAGTATATGTATATATATATACACATACGTACTTTACGTATATTTATACACACGCCTCTCGGAAAATGCCAGTGCCACATGCCACTTTTACCTTGCTTCGTAAAGCTAAACTTAATTTGTTCCCTCTATTATACGTGTAATACATTTACAAAGGCTGTGTATAAATACCGTAATGTCAGCGTTGATGCACGCACGCGGTGTACACTTAAATACATATATACACACATATATGTAAATACGCATCTACATGTCTCGGTATTTAAAAGACGCATGTACATTATTACATAAATACTCAGTCTTTATTTCTTTAAGATTGTGTATTTTCATCCGCGTTGCTGGTACTGCATGCTTCTTCGGAAGGTGTTGACAAACGACCGCCACTACTCTGTGCTCCTGCGGGAGACGGCTCCTCTATGACCGATAATCGCTTCTCGCGATCCGTAGACACCGTGGAAATATGGAAGAAGAAATTTCTTAAAGCGGCAACGTTAACCCGTTCCCGCGGCACCTCGTCCGCCGGTGAGTCAACCTTCGATTCGCCGTTGGTACTCCTGAAAAAATAATAAGCATATAAAAATATTGATACCAAATACATACCGTCTTTAAACCGTGTTAGAACATGATTGAAAATTGTACATACTTGGTACTCTTTTGAGCATTCGGTTCTTGTTCTGTTTCTTTGTTACGTTTACGTCGTGCCGAGGTCCGATTGTTCACTCCGCAAGTATTGACAACTCCTTCCTGGTCTGCTTCGATGAAACTGACGTGATCATCGAATCGGACGCGTTCAGAACCTTCATCCTCCCCGCAGACAGTCCAATTACTAGAATCGCTGCATTGACGATCTAACGTCGGTTTACGTCTAGCACGTTTCACCAAACCAGGCAACACTTCTTCGAGCGAGCTCAAAGACGTAGCTTGTCCCGCGGAATCCATGTGACCGCCTGCAGCAGAACCTGTTCCTTGTTCTCCTTCCGTACTTCGGCCACCGCTAATCGAACTGCCATCCATCTGACAGAATCAGGATAATTAAAATTAATAAAAATAATATATATTACATCAATAGGCATATTTAAAGAAAAATGAAATACTTTAAAATTAAGAACAGATCCCGCCAATGCTCTCGTTGAAGCTGCGCCATCGTCCAAAGCGATAGATGCATTTACAGATTTCTCTGACAAGCTGGTTGCAGCAGACGCCGTTTCGCTGCACAAGCTGAATCGTTGGGTGGACGTCACATCCGCTTGAACTTCCAATCTGTGTTTTAAACCTCACAATTTACATATCTTTTTTAATAATCAGAAGATACAAAAAATAAGATAAATGTCTTATTACCTCTGACCTCCGGGAAGTACGCTGGAGGCTATACTTCCTGCAAGGCTGGTACCGGCGAGGGCCACGTTACTAGCGCTCTCCCGATCATTTTCGCGGCCCAATTTTTCCAGCTGACTCCCACTACCTAACGAAAGTGAAGCCTCTCCAATCGAAGGATTACCGCCACGATGACTGGCAACATCTATCGACGCTGTATCTACAAAATTACATTCCCCATAGTATATGATCCAGTGGAACAAGCAGGAAATGCGAGTTAGGCTTTTAATGCTTGGTACAAATTTACCTGCGCCATTGCGGACGCTCAAAGATCCCATAAGCTCGTTTTCATCGTCGAAGTCGAATCGGACTCCCGTACCATTTGTCGAAACACCACAGCCACCGCTTCGACAAAGAGAGACAGGGACTACGCCATACACGTAAAATAATAAAATGGGTACACCGATACCCACAGCTAATCCTGCTATTATGGGTGATACTAAAACCTGTAACAACAACATTCAGATTATAGACAATGGGCTTTATACGCATTTTTATTGATTTCCTTAACGAGACAGATGGAATAATATGTATATAATATAATCGTTAAGATTCGAAACGAAATAAAATTGTTCTTTGTAACGAATGTCTGTGTTCCAAACTTTTAACTATGATTAATTTCCATTGTTCCTTGCTACCGGAAACATTTCAGTACATGTTCAACAATCTAGAATTCCGCCTGTACTACATAAAAAATAAAGGAAGTGGATCAGAAATATTACATTAGGAGTCAGCAGATTTAACTCATTTTTTCATGACTGTAAAACCTCAGTTACTTCGTCTGCATTAGTCTTGTATAATTAATAGAGACATCGTCTGAAAAAAGCAACAATTTCTCTAACAGCCTTCGATGTTTCCATGAAAGGAACGAAGGCCGCGAGCGCGTCAAGGAAAATCGAGAGAGATGCAACGCGTGGTGAAATAAATATATCTCGAGCAATCGTGGGCACGATGAGCCGGGAGATTACTGGCGCGCGGCGATCTGTTTTCTAGATTTCCATCAAGCGCGGAAAGGAGCGTGGGGCAGCGGAACAGGAGATAGAGAAAGTGCACGGTGAGCAGAAGGTGCGGGAGGCGCGGAAGGAAGGATATTGATCGGGCGGTGTAGGAGTGCGCGCATGGGAGAATCCTCTCTGTCCCACCCTACGGCCTGCATCCACCTAGGTGGCTGACGATGGAACGTGCATCGTGTCAGTCGGTACTTTAAGACTCGTGCTACGCCACGATCGCATACGCGGTTTGGCAAACAGGGATCGGGAACGGGGTGCTCTGCGCCAAGGGTGTGTCTGTGCCGTGGACACTTGGAGCCCCGATGAGAGGACGTCGGCTGACGCCGGCTCGAACGAATTCGAGGACCGGTCGGCGTAACAGGAAGTAGAGGAAGGGACACGCGACGAATCCATTCATTACTGACGATTTCGCGAAGCCTCGATACACTCGTGCGCTCATACGTGAACAAGTTGAATAGGCGAGCGCTCTGCCTGTGTCATCGTTCACGAGGGCGTGCATATGGTTTATTGGCATTGATTGGGGGAATAGAGACACGCGAAACATCAGCGAACGTCATACATTCCCGTCTGTTTCTATTTTTCCTATCGTTCTTTCGCTCGACACCGACAATATCCACGTCATCAATTAAACCATCGTTAGTGGTAATTGAATAAACAATAGACGAGGAAGGCGAACGAGGGAGGGTCATACTAAAGGGGAACCATGGCGAACTGGGACTGGGAAGACACCGACTGGGATTGGGAAGACGCAGAAGAATCTTCCTGCGGTGAGGACCAGAAGCAGATTATCTCGGAGTCGGAAATTGACAAGGAGTGGCTCGGTGGTATCTTAAGGGAATTTCATAAGGAACCGGTTAGTTCGGTAGAAACTATGATTTACCGTTTAACAATTTACACGCAAGCAATTTTTAACTCGGCATCGTTTAAATGCGAATTAACGAATGCTTTCCAATGAAAATGCGAACGCGTACCAAGACGTAGCGTACCAAGTGTTGCTAAATTACTTGAAAATTAACTCGTCATGTACACAGGTGACGATATCCGATTGTAACGTAAGTCCGGGCTGTATGAGTAACGAAAGCGCGCTCAGCGCTATAATTCGCGTTAAAGTCAAGTACGTGTTGAGCGACTCGAACACCACGCAAGACCTCTCGCTAATTGTGAAAGAGTTACCCAAAGACGCGTTCAGTCGCTTCTTCGTTATCGAAGGTCAGTTCGATCTTCGGGAGATTAAATTTTACACTCAGGTGAGTAATCAATATTATTAATACTTTGTTCATGCATGTCGATAGAAAAAAAAACTGTTCTGTTCAACGAATAACTAACTAAAATTCTGTTTATGTTAGGTAATGCCCGACTTAAAAGAGTTCCAAAAGAAACAATTAGCGTTCCAAGGGAACGACTCGGACAAAGAAATCCTTCTGTCAGTTCCAATTTGTTACCATGCACATTATACACCAGTCGACGAGACGGACGAGAACCCTGCGATACCAGACTCGATATTAGTACTGCACGATCTTCGTGACTCCGATTTTCGAAATATTAAATTTCGAGAAGGACTGACATACGATCAAACGAAAGTCGCGTTAGATGCCATAGCACGTATACACGCGCATTCATTGACGATGAAAGTAGTCGAGGGTCAACCTCTGTCCGATCGCTATCCGTTCCTCTTTCAAACAGCGAAGGCGACGGATTCGTATCAGCAACTGGTCGAGCGTGGTTTACCTCAGCTCGCCACATTTTTGAAGAGCACACCGGGATTAGAAGAGATACTTGAAGCTTTACTTGTGCTACGACCTAGGACCAAGCACATAATATCCGCGCTACTCGCGCCGGAAGGGCCGCTAGCACTGATAACGCACACAGATTTCTGGTGCAACAACCTACTTTTCAAAGAAGGACCCTCTGGCCTGGAGTGCTGTATCCTTGACTGGCAAATGGTCACCTACAGTAGACCGACTAACGACATCGCACTACTGATAGTGAGCTCTCTGCCCACCGAGCTACGACGACAGCACACAGACAACTTCCTCGACATCTACTGGGATTCATTGACGAGCACCTGTTCCCGTCTCGGTGTCGATATCCCGAATGATTTGGGTTACACGAGAGAAGATTTGAGCAAAGACTACCGGCGATCGCAACTTCTCGCTCTCCTACTTTGCATCGGATCCGTGGACGTTGCCTTAGGCGATCCGGACACCGAACAACGCCTGATCGACGTTCTAAAAGACCTTCACATCGAGGGTGTACTTACAGATGAGACTGCAACTGCCACCAGCGAAAATGATCCTTAGTCAGCGTTATTACCGCCCATAATAGTGCTGCAGCGAAATAATACTTCTACGCGAGATGTAAATCAAGATGAAAGTTACGGAGTTGGCCGTAGAACGACACGACCTGTCGACCGTTAATGTTACAATTGTGATCAATATGATTCATCTCGTGCAAAAAAGGCTTGTGTCGACAATGATGTAATTGCGGCTAGTTGAAGAAATCGAAGTCACGTTAAATAACATGGCGAAAATAGAATTGATGTTAGAATTTTCTGTTTGAAAACCACATTTCGACACATTGGATTGTTTGTGCGACATGTACACGTACTTAGCAACCGAGTTAAGCGAACGAAATATCAATAAATGTTGTACCGAGTTCGAAAATTAAATGGCTTCTAAACTGGAACAAAATCGCTAACAGCACGTGCCACGAAAAACTAATACTATTTTCCTTGAGCGAATTAAATACGACAAACGTTCGATTCGAGTTTTTTCCTGTGACTAAATTTCTTCCCGCAATTATTGCAACGGCTATAAGACCGACATTCTGTTATCGCTAATTCAAGTACGCAATAATTATATAATTCCATTTCTTTGTACAAACTATATAAATAAAATGTACTTTGATGTTGTCAGGAACTTGTCGATCGACTCATAATAATATATTTCCAAACAATCCCTAACGTTTACGAGTAAGTCCAAATTTGTTTATCATATTGCGTTCCTCTGCGTTTTAATTTTAGCACATGATAATCATTTTTAAGACCATAACTATTATCTGAGATTACGTTTTTCCTTGTATCGATTCAATACGATATGTGCAATAGAAATATTAAATATGATGAATTTATGTATGTAATAAAATTTTAACTTACGGATGCGACTACTCCGCCAACAATAAAGGCATTCCTCTTGTGCTTGTTGTCCTCCTCGTACCTTGTATATAACTCTTTTCCCACCCACACTGGTATGCCTGCAACATACATGAACAAATATAAACAGATAAGATAATTATCGTCAGTTTACAAATAAATAAGATCCGTGTATATGATCTCACCTATTATCATGGCAGGAACAGCTATACCAGCAGCAAGACCGATTCCAACTGGAGCTCCCACTAAAGTTCCAAGTTGCCAGAGTATCTTCTTTTTCCTAGACCACGGTTTCTTACCCCAAAAGGTACAACCCGATGGACTGTAATTAAATGGGAAGTTCACGACATTGGAAACCAATAAGATATTGTTCTATTAATATAATTATAAAAGCGTTGTACCTTAAATAATGAAGGTCGCTGATTTCCTTCATACATAGCCAGCAGAATTCAGCACCGCAAACAGCACAGATCATATGATTGCAACTACCATCATTCATTTTAACGATTAACACTTGACACCTTGGACACGGCTTGACATCGTCCTCTGTAAAAACGAATTTATATGTGATAAAAAAATTTGCGTACACGTACGTAAATGCAAATATTATCATGAAAGATATTTACTATGCTGTGAATCACTCTGATTGAAACTGAGGGATGAGCTACGTTCGTAATACTGAGTACGTTGTGCTCTCGCGGCGTCACATGTCTGATTGGGATGCCAACGTGCTTTACAGTGATAACAGAAATAAGAATCGCATCCTGGCCGTTCGCAACGTAATTTTGGACATGACGCGCAGCCGCTAGCGATAACTGCAAAGCTGCAGTCTGGAGCAGGACACCATCTTGCGTCAGGTTCTACAGCGAGGACTCTTCGCACCATAAAGTCTTCATATTTTTCCAATTGCGTTTGATCATTTAAAATCATTCGAATATCTAGACATAAAAATAAGTTTTATAAGTACAACGATAAGATACAATTTACTCCTCATTAGGACAATCAGTTTACCATTTGGATGAAGCGGCTCTGAACATTCGGGACATGCTATATTAACTCTAGATTCAGAGATCTCAACTTTCAGATATTGATTGAAACAATCATAACAACTACGATGATGACAAGACTGGACGATCGGAAAAAATTCCACTGGTAATTCAGCCAAACATAAAGGGCATTCCATCAAGCCATTTTCGCTGCTCTGAAAACAAAAAGTACAAAATTCGTTTTATAATCCTTGCGATTAATGTGATGGAATATTACTTATAATCACGTATTCTTTAAATACCTTTCCGGCAGAAGAGAGTACAGAGCCTTTGCTGGAAGCACGTTGTAGATCTATGTTCTGAAATTGAAAATGGCTCGAACCATTACTTACTCTGGCTTCTCCCTTCTCAACATCCGTAACCCTGCTGCCAGCTGGATCTTTTCCTAGAAAAATGATCAAGATTCGATTTCACATCTCTCATCAACAAGTTCGCAACAGTTATTGTTCATTACCTTTTGTAGCCCTGCTGTTTGAATTAGATGTCCTCACATTTCGTCGACCAATAAAGGGACTTGAATACAATAATCGTCGTAAGGAAAATCGTGCTAACAATCTTCGTGGTCGAGGGGCTGCACCGCTACAGCCTCCTGAAGCACTGTCATTTTCTTTGAACATCCTGAGTGGTATCACAAATCAGTACAATCTCATTCTTCGTCTTACAGGATTAAAATAATTCGACCTGTTTGAATAACGTGAGAAAAAAAGGATTAAATTTTAAGTAAGTATAAGTATAAGCACATGATATGAACACTGCAATGCTTTGTCACTCGGAAATCATGTTCAGAAATAACTTATAACGATTAATATTTAAAGAAATGTTACTGTATTACAGTTTAAACACACACGGTTTACAGACGATTATAGTTTACGTCATAAATGCACGTATAATGTTGTACTTAATTACGTCCGATTCAACCTACATACTGCAGTTCTTATAACATTAATCTTTTAACTCGTATAAAACATATTTCGAGGAAAACCGTAGAATTCGAGGGAGATTACTCGGAATCTGAAGAAGTAGAGAAATGTTTAAATGCTGCCGGACGAAGAATTCCTCGTTAAAATTAGAAATCTTTTCACATGTATGCACCTATTTAACCCTAACGTACTAAATTTACCGAAATTCACGAATACTGATTTCCATTCTGCACTGGTTTCTTCTTATTTATTTTTCTACTTTCACCTAAAAGGCAATTATGCAGTTTGTCAAGGTTGTTGTCGTCAATTACGATTTCTCCGTGTTCATGAGGCGCATAAGTAATCATCATTTCGAAATCTCTAACGTGTACTATGAACCATTTTAATAGCCAAAGTTACATTTAACCGATTTGCACTCACGTATGTACATTCTGATGTTAGTAGAAAAAAAATCAAATATCCACTACATGCTATTACGTTTATTTGGTTTACTAAATGGCCAAATTTAAATGTGTAAATTATGTTCAATACACAGTGTTTACCGAGGCGAACGTGTGACTCATAATGAAGTGCTAAAGGCTGATTCAATATGGAAAATCAATTGCATAAAATTAAAGTTTATTTTTATAAAATAAATGCAAGATATGGAAGAAGTTTACTGCAGGTATTAACGATATTGTATTCGTCTATTTGGCAAAGATGCAAATAACCGCAACCTCAGATCAACTAATATGTCAAAGCTTTGTAAAAAGAAACATAAATACTCATTTTCTGCATCATTTAGTTTTTGCAAATGCAAATTTACTAGGAGATGCAAAATAATCGCCATTTGTAATAGTCTTAAACTCACATACACACTATATAAAACATACGTGTAACACGAACATATATGCTCTCATGAAGTTGAGTATTTTTCACTTTATAACATTATAGACTTGTTTGTAATGGATTAAAATGCTCTATTCCTTAAATCCAATTAAATATGAATAAAACAAGAATGTTGGAATTGAATACTAAGAAACCTTACATACAGATGACTAGCATTAATGCTGGCATGAGATATTCACGAGCGAACGCGAAATAAACCTTATTTAACCAACGTATGTAAGCCTACCTGATTTATATCAATCACTATTTCCAAATCTGTCGCAACGTCGGCAAGTAATAATGAACAGTGAACGCACAAGATTACGGTCACACTATTGACAAGTTTCACTTATTTTGTTGGTTAAGGATGTTCACTTGACACAACAGCTGACGGCTTTTGGCCAGGGGATCTGCAGATATACTTGCTTCGAAGTTGTATATGCTACTGAATATAGGAGGATTACTATATACTACTGAATATAGGAGGCGCTAGTAGAGCATATATACATATATATACATATATGCAGATTCTGCCTGTTATTCTTTTGCATTCTTTTGTTCACACCGTGATAAGTGATGTGATTGTAATATGCAATCACAATGGGACCTCAAAGCCAAAGCTATCGGCATGAGAAATAATAGGTTTCACTCATAGAAAATGATTTTTGCCGCTTGTATAAGAGTTAAAATATGTATTACAGTTCAATTTGTTGTACTTTTTTAAAAAGAAATAATTGATTTTATATAATTGAACCGGAAACTTAAAGATTTATATTGATCCTGAAAACCGTCTAAATCCTTCTTTCTATACTCCCACGGATGTACACGAAAGGAAGACACACTTGAGGTATAAAAGGTCTCAAGAACACTTCAGCGATTTAAAAATGTTGTTGTGACCATAAAAAGATTTTCACAACTTTGAGCATAAATTACAATACAGAATCATGTCCATTATCATTTCCACGATTTAAATAGTTTCAAGTATGTAAATAACTTTTATTATATCACCTTCAAGTATATAAGCGAGTGCAACCAGATATTAACGTATTCGTGGCACTGCTCAGTACTTATTCATAGTTATAAATGAATTAAACGTCAAATTGAATGTTTCGGATAATGATTTAACAATTTTCATAACGACAAAAATGAAGCGTAATATTAGTCAGCTTTAATAGTAGTTAGAATGTATATTCAAGGATAGGAATGAGGGTTCATAGTTTAAAACGACTGTTAAGATTAGAAAACGATTATCAATGTTTCGAAAAAATTGTGGTTCATTGTACTAATGACCGCTCTATGTACAGAAATGTTTTATTCTTAAATTATGCACAAATTGCAATCAATACAAATGTATCTGAAACAAGCAAGTTGGGGGATATCTCAGTTTTTTTTGGGGCTGCCGTAAGAATATTCAGATAGAATGGCAGCTGTTTTGTTAGGTGTCAATGTGTTGCTTCGATCGCCGTGCGATTTTTGCAAGATCCATAAGACACGTCCGATTAGTTGTTGTCATATCCGGAAGAAAGGCAGCTGTTTTAAATTGACAGATAATCGTCCAAGTTAACTGACAATCAATTTAAAACAGTTAGCCGTATCTATTTTTATAGCTTAGTATAGTAAAGCTAGTTTATTTTTTCAGACATCCACATTTCGACTAAGTAGTATTATAGTAATAAAGGTATGCGCTAAGTCTGCACTTCAGCTAGATATCATAAAACATGTATCATTCCTTCTCTGGCACATCATACATTGGTATTACTAAGTATACGTTTACTTTCTTTTTAAATCATGCGAAACAATGCAGAAACGAATGTCATATCAAATCCTAATATTTGATATAGTATGCTTAGACTGTAATTAAAAAAAGAAAAAGACTAAATTACGTGAAAAGTGAAATAAAAACCGACTTCTTGTGCACACCCATTTGTGTTCTTCCGCAATCAAATAAGTCATTTTTTAGCATTCATCATGGTATTATTAATCAACACTCAGTATTGAAACATAAAATTCTAGTGTTGTTAAATAACTCTACTAATAATCGTAAACCAAAAAAAACTCAATCTTGTGAATTAAATAGGAGGAACATCATTGGGGACACTTTTTAACCGAGATTACATGCAGCTGCCGCCTAGCATTGTTATCATTAATCCATCTTCTTGCTTCATGTTACGTTTCGTTCTAGTTTTGTCGCGAAATATTTTTAAATCCATTATGTTCGATTATGTTTCCTCGTTCTTAAACATAAATATAAAAATAACACAAAACACGTACTCTGTTGCTTCGTAACTTCTACGTATCATTACTTCGTAACATATTAAAACACGTCAAAGAGTTTGTATTGCAGTTGTTGCAATGTTTAAAGAAATAAAAGGCAAAATGAAAAAAACATCGAATTGATTATATCCTGCATACCTGTACGTATTGTGTTATTTTCTTTTTTTTCAATAAATACAGCGACAGATCTAGGCGAAAATTGTTCGAATTGATAATTGACGTACGAACCACGAATATCCAGCCTACTATTGGATCATTCCACAAGTGATCGAGAGGTACTTCAGCAGTACGTCCAAATTACTGTCACACAAGTTGGGAGCTTGGTATAAAAATGAGGCACAGTTTCACAATCAGGGAATTCCTTTTTAACCAGATGCTTCTACTATCTCCCAATGAATGTATCCATATATCAAACATGATAGTATAATCACTATCATTTAAACTAAACCATGCATGGATATTAATATGTGTCCTTAAATGTGTTTAAGGAGAATGACGATTTCTTAAACAACTGTCGTATTCTTATCGGTAGCAAACAGTCTTAACAACGAGCGTAGACTAAATCATGTCGCGTTCCATAATCGTGTAGTCCTTGCGTAGGTATGCGTCATGTTATGTGCTGGGTGTTAATAGCTCTCATCAGGTGTAGTGTTTATACGTAAGTAGCAATTGTTGACCAACAATGGTTGTTTAGCCACTGGTGCCGTTAACCAGAGCCTCCTTAGGCTTATTGCTCTGTTGCATACGAGGAGGACGAGACCGTAGTTCTCTTTGGCCTTTAGGCCCCTGGGAACTGTTGTTAGTAGTAGAAACGTCATTCGCCGGTGTCCCTTCTTTGCTAGTTACAGTTGATTGGTCTCCCGGACCGGCATTATTGCCTAAACAAATATATAAATTAAATTTAAGCGTTATTATACAAACTTCGATATTTATTCTGAAATGACATATATCTGATATAATATTTAAACGTTGCACTCGATTAAAAAACCGATCGTCCCAAAAGAGTGTCATATAACGTTCTCAGTTCCATTTAGTTTACCTTTCTCATTATTTGTAGGTGTAGAACTACGCTGCCGCGAACGTCGGAACCGTCGTCGCCTTATGCCCTTCGGTCCTGCCTCCACACTTGATACCGATTCTATACATATACAAACTATTGTGACCATCTTTTTACATGACATTAAACAAATATCACTGAAATTCAAAGAATGTCTCTTCCCCCAATTAACAATTATGCGTGAAGCTACACCACATACGTTAGTAGCGTGCATTAGTAATCATTATTGATATTACTGTTGTTAGATGGTCACAAATGTTTGTTCCACAATCCATGCCACTCACAAATGATTTAGACCAGACTCGATTACAGTACAGTCTTTAGGACGAAACGGTTGTTTTACTTAGAAGTAGTTGTTTGAAAAGAGCATCATTACCTCTGTCAACGCTTGAAACATCTTGGCTATCAAGAACAGTGTCTTCCTCGTCTGTTGTTCGGCGACGTTCATCTCTACGATCTCTACGTTGAGTTGGAGGACGACCTTGTCTACCACCCATGTACCCTGAATTGCCTCCGCCACCTTGATGGCCACCTCTCGGAGGTAGATCCCTTACCCGATCTTCGCTACCATCTAAGGTGTCTCGACGTAATCCTGTAAATTAAACTGCATTTGTAAAAAAAAACAAATTAAAAGAAAAACGTAGCATGATGAACACGAAAACTTAATGATCTCGTAAAACAAATGAAATGACGAAAAATTAGTATCCTTACTTGTGGTCGATGATGATCAGTGTAGCATCTGACACATGAATCACATGACACATGATCAATGATGCTTCCCGTTATAAGAACTAAGGGTACTAATTGGGAGTGAAGAGGCATCTTTGGAATCAAGTTCACTAATTTTTTTAAATCTCTTCTTCTACCATTAAGACATTTATGTCTGTATAAGTTCATACGATTTCAAGTGATAAATAAAATGTTCTAACGTCTAACATTAAATTACGAAGGACAAGTATAATTATATTAAATAATTGAAGATCGTAAATGCTTTCACTTAATATTTTAAAATCAAAAATCAGATTCGCCTGAAGTATTTTACAAGATAAGTTTTATTACAAAACATATATAAGTACATTTTTAATAAAAATAATAACATAATTGCTTATTATTTCCTTATTTATCAATTTGCAAACTGCCTGCCTAGTTCAGACAACGTTTAATTTTGTTAACGTTTAAAAAGCAGTTAAAGTTAATTACATTTAATACGTATTATTCAGTCAAACGAGAGATTCTAAAACTGTTGTACAGCTTGGTATCATAAATTTGACACGGAATGTTTGTTAATTCGTAAGTATTGATTACTCTTAGAATATACGTGAGTAGACAATTCGCACACAAAACAAAATGATGTATTTTATTTATTCCTGAAGTGACCAACAAATTAAACGTATCACATATGATTAGTTACTTAGCTACTACATGCATTTCCATTAAACACGTACATGCAAATGCATATGGTTGCACAGTTATTTCTTAATATGTTATAATCTCATGTTCTATGCAGTGAGTACTTTAAATGTTTGCGAATTGTTAATATATTTATAGACAGCAATTAAGGCAACAAGAAATATGACAAAACACAATGAATTACGAATAACGATGTACAGATAAAAAAACTAAATAGCTGAAACGGTTTTTATAACAAGTATAGCTTCAATCTGTATAATCAAACAATAGAAAATATCATCAAGTAAAAAAAAGAAAATACTAATAGAGGCCAAGTTACGCTTCAAATACGTAAATCGTCATGACTTTGAAGAAATAAAAGTTCTGAATACATTAATACAGTCAAGAAAAATTTGATCATTATTGATTCGATGAATATTTTTATGTCTATACTGATACATTTACAAATTTGAAATCTTTTAAGTTTTTAAATATTGTAAATATATTATTCAAAGAGTATTCTAATGAAATACAGCAAAAACTCATTTATCCGAATCCCTAATTTTAAAAGTGCTTGTTTATCAGACGCAAAATAAATCAAGGAAAACAATTATTTAGAAAATATCTATCAATCATAAAAAGAAAAGAATGTTTCTTGAAAGACATTCTTCAATACGAACGNAAAGTACATACAATTTTTTCACATATCATTAAAAGTACATAGTTTGTTATGTAACAAAGACTAAATAAATATAAATTACTTATCAGTCGTGTACGTTACATGAAAAAATATCTTTTGCCTATTGAGCGTCAATCAAAATAATAGTAAGAATCTCGGATAATCCAAATTTTCGTTTATTCGGATCTTTCATTCAGACGCCTCGTCAAATCCGAATAAATGAGTTTCTACCATAAACCTTTAATATCGTAATCCTAGCACTGATCTAACTTCAATAATTTATCAAATGTTACTTTGTGACAACATGCCCTCTGTCTTTAAAATCTCTGGATTCTCTACTGTCTCTCGCATTGGGCCCACCGCTTCTGCCATTACGTTTTTGTGTGCTCTCTACATTGTTGATATAGTCAGTAATAGTATTACCGGCATTGTGTCTGGTGGGAGCCCTACCCCTGCCACCACGTCCACGTGATTGACCACCACGGCCTCCACGGCCTCCACCACCTTCCTCTGGGCCTCGTCTTGTCGGAGGAAAGTTAGGCATCGGTCCTGTGGTTGATCCATGCATATTTCTTAACTGTTGGTCAATTTCTAATTTCTCCTGGCGTAACTGCTCCACTTCCTTTAAAACAAACGATGCAAATATCGGTAAATCATATTATTCGAGATATAATACTTCTGATACGATTTAATCACTATACCTTCAAATGCGCCAAATGATACTCCAACAACATTTTAGCGTTAGCAATACTTTCAACAGTACCAACAAATACAAAGGGCACCTGACCTTCTTCTCTTGGAATCGTTGGTTGAGGTTCGTTGTCTCCTTCTATTTTGACTCGCACCTGGAATGTGTTCGATCGTATAAAATTCTCGAACGAAAGGCCTCTGTCCATGAAATAAAACCGTGTTACTTACCACCCCACTTTTGTCAACAATTTCTTGAATTATGCGACCATTCTTTCCAATTACTTTGCCTACCAGAACACGCGGTACTTGTATAGATTCTTCGCTGTACTCAAGCATAGAACGTGCCTTTTTAACAGCTTCATGCGTCTGCAATTGAAGAACAAATATCAGTTTTAATTCTGCCGCGTATGTATGGTGAATAATTTTCGTATAAAAATTGATTACCTCTCCATATATCTTGAACGTGCATGAATTTTCTTCTAATTCTATATTTGTAATTCCGTCGACCTTCCTCGCTTGTTGAATATTTGCCCCGTGTGCACCAATTGCTAAACCCATTAAGTCTACTCGAACATTAAATTCATCTGTGTATCTAAAAAACAAATTTGTTTTTTACATATTTAGTCTCAGTTGTACACGACAAACACATCATTTTTGCTGAAACAATGCAGAGAATTTATAATATATGTACACACAATTACATCAAATTAATAAATGAATTTCAGATGATAATATAAATCATTAAGAATTTAAATATTACTGCTAGCTCGTTTTTTATTTAAACTGATTGCTAACATTAATGACCGGTGGTATAAATTCCACAAAACTTTGTAGATTTTTAATAACATAGGTCTTTCTTTATAGCATGCAATATTATGGTATTATTACGTCGCGATACAATGATATATAATACAAATAATACATTTTAAATAAATTTAAGTTCCTGTCAGTGGCTCACTTTCTGGCAGATGAAAATAGTAATACTAAGGATTTTATGAGGAACATTTAATGCACATGATATACATTAAGAAGAAAATGATATATAAGCAAAGTTTGTAAAACAACTTGAAGACAGGATATAGTACGTAGCTTGTTTCTTGAGCTTTATCTACAAATCATATGACACTGAAATATAACGTGCGACATTTGTTCAAAATATCAATTATGATATGTAATATGCAATCTCGTACATTCACACAAAATGTCAACATATACTTTCTCATATGATAATATATGAAACAGAATACACATACGTATTTTTTTTAAGAAGGTATTAATATCATAAGTAATAATAAATAAAAGAAACGTTCAAAATTTGACAGAACGAATCTACAATAAAATAACTTTATGACATGCAGAGATACCCTCAGTAAAAAATAAAACAAAATCTCATTTCTTAATAAATCACAGTCCCACAAATTTTAGAGTTTTCGATAATTAAAATAATATTATTAATCCCCTAACTCAGTATAGAAGGTTCTCAATAATTTTGAAACGTTGCATCTTTTAACGACCCACGTTGAAACTTTATGAATCAACCGTTTAAGGAATATAGTAGACAGAGCCACCAGTTACTCAATTCTTTGTGCAAAACACTTAATATATCAGTGTTTCTCAAACATTGGCAGGCCAGAATATAATTTCGAATGAACAAATGAAATGGGATAAATTAATAAACTTAAAACTCTACGAAAACACATAAATGTAATAAAAGTAATAAATGAAAACAGATCACAGCTACACGTTTATGTTTATCTGCTATCTTATCAATCACGCAAAGTTTTACTACAGAACATATAGTAAAAAAGATCGAGTAATAAAATTTGTATGTCAGTGTATTTGAAGCATTTGAATCTCAGTGAAATGATCTACATAACGCCGAAGCATGCACATTTATAGTGTAATTTCATTTTTCGTTTGAAAAATGCAGCTGTGTAATTTGTCATACAATAAGCTAAACTTAAATCTAAACCACGCTGCTGTGATCTCACCTTGAATTTGTTTTCACTCCTGCCTCAAAGTCTGAGACATGCTGATATATAAAGTTTGAAGATCTAAATTTGCTGAAATGAGAAAGAAACTCTTGGTGTAACTCGGTGGAAATTCATATATGAGATGGCCCTATCCCGTGTCCCTGCCATTCTGTCTGTTTGCTCCTTACCAATCAATTTACGCCCAAATATTTATGTGAAACTTTACTTTTATACAAATATCAAAATAAAAATTAATTGGAACCTTCCTTTTTNTTTTCATTAGTAAATGCTCCTATTTTTTATAAATTAGATAATAGAAGTAGGTCTTATATCAAATCATTTTCTTATAGAAATAAGTTTCTGTTGATATAGTTATTTAGGAATTAGAAAAACCATATTAGTAATTAAATGTATTAATATATAGTTTTGATACAAATTAATGTAACTGTTATATATATATATATATATATGTAGATAAGTGTAATCAGCAAATAATAAATAAACATAGCATTATTCTATATAACGCGCGTAACATTATAAGATAAACAAAAGAATATGTCAGCGAAAAGTGACATCCACTAAAGACAGATGAAAAAACACATTATGTGCGGATTGATTACTATATGCACGTCGTGCTCTTGAGATTGATAAGAGTATGAAAAACAAGATGATGACTGACACACAGAATTGTATGTGGATCTCGAAAACGTTATATGTAGAAATTTATTCAATATTTTATATACAATCACACTCGTGGAAACTAGAAGGAAATGTATAATAAACATTTGTAATATGTCTACATGGCATTCATGAAAATTATGATGTTGAAGCAAACATATTGATCAATGAATGGAAATCTTGTGAATTTTTTTCTGCCAGTAAATGCAAACCACAGACAGGATGGTAACCAGGACAGTATATGGATAGGGGCAGGTATTAAATGTCACAAGATTTTTTGTTAATTGCAACACCAGCTATAAAGTTTGTTTTACTTACCCCCCAATTGTTTGAAGCTTAGTTGATTCAAGTTGGCGTGCAGCTTCCTCCGTTCTTTTTAAAAGCAATACCTGTAACATACACACGAAATAGAATAACATTGTAGACGATACGGATCGTTTGTTTTTATACGTAAAATACTATATTCTCACCTTTTGCGATAAGTTTCTAAAGTGCATTTCTTGGAGCATGCTACTGTGACGATGTAAATTTTCGTGACGGGAGATGGCCAGCAATACTCCTCGTTCAGGCACGTATCGGCACACTGCCGCCCCTATCGCTTTTTGAAATTCCTTATGTGCATTTTCCATTTTGGCGCTGTGCATATAAAGACAGACATTTATAACAAGAAAATAAATATTTGACACTGGATAATGTAATAAAAAAAATGCGTACAACTCTCTTAGATCTTCAGGTACTTCTATTTCGATCTTGTGAAATGTATTTTTATCAATAGGGGGATT